GGTTTTGTGTTGATCCTCGGGCCGGATTGCAATCTGATGGTACCCGGACTTCAGATCTATCTTGCTGAAGTACCGGCACCCTTGCACTCTATCTAATAGATCGTCGATGCGCGGTAGGGGCTCTCTGTTCTTCACCGTGATGGCATTGAGGCCCCTATAGTCAATGCACATCCTGAGAGTGCCCTCCTTCTTCTTAGGTACGAATAGTACTGGAGATCCGTAAGGAGAGACACTCGGCCGGATCCAACCCTTCTCTACGAGTTCCTTGAGCTGGCGGCGAAGCTCATCGAGCTCGCCTGGAGACATCCGATAGATCCTACCCTTCAGAATACTAGACCCTGGGATAATCTCTATCGCGTGGACGACCTCCCTATCAACAACCCCTGTTGGCTCTTCAAATAGGTCAGGGTACTTGGCAACTACTCCCTCTATCTCCGGTGGCATTTTCACCGGCTCGCCTGCAGCAGAGACATAAACTAAGTAGATACCCTCCTCCTGGTTTTGCTTATAATAGTTGTAGAATGCGGCCGCACACATGCACCCGTAGGACTCAATCAGACTACTAGCTTTGAACTTATGTAATCTGGCGGTCCCTCCACCAGGCAAAGTGTGTTTGACCACTTTTCGGTCCCAGTCAAACTGGGGTTGTGCCAAAGAGAGGTAGTACATACCTAACAACATGTCCATGGGGAGTTCATCGCTCACTAGGAATGAGACACGATGCCTCAAGTCCCCTCCCGCGTACGGGAAACTACACTCTACATCCTGGAGGTAGTCGTTAACTACCATGCGCTGTTTGTTGGCACAGGTCGACTCCACATGTCGACTCAGGCGCTGCACTCGCCCCTGTAAGCCCAGTCTCTCAACGCACGCGCGACTAATAAAGTTTCGTGTCGAGCAAGTGTCATAATAGGCCCCGGCCTTGCGGCCGCCAATAACAACCTCACTGATGAACATCTCACCCTTAGGAGCTTTGACTAAGGCCGTCCAAGAAGCTAGCGGGTCTAATCTAGACCACTCCACCTCTAGCTCCTCTAAGGACTCAAACACATTCATCGAACAGAGGGTCGATGGGTCTGAATGTGCTTGCGGGACGACTGAAGAGCCAGTAGCTTGGGCCATCTCTCGCGAAGGTGAGGGTGTATCCACCACCGCGACCCTAGTAGGAACAGCTACTATTCCTACTGGCCCGACGTGTTTCCCAGAGCGGTGCCTGAAGAACTGGCAACATTGCTACCAACGGGAGTGGAGGATCCTACCGCCGGCCCCATCGTAGGCGGGATCTTCTTGGTGACCTTCCTGTTTCGGCACTTGTACATGCTATGGCCATACTGACCACACTTGATACAAGCTTGCCGGGCCTACCGATCTCTCCACACATCCTCTGATAGACCCGCTTTCTCCCATGGAGGAGCGTTGGGGTTTGTTTGACTCTTCGACCGGGATCCCCTAGGGCATCGACCGGTCCCTTTACCTTTTTGCGCTACGGCAGCGACCACTCCACCCTCTGAAGCGACTAAGCTGCCTGCCTCTGAACCTACTCCCTCCTGGAGGTTGCCGTCCAACTCGATGGTTGAACCATCGCTGTCGACAAACATTAAGCGACCCTTCGCCTTCCAGTTAGGAGGCAGTGTCTTCTTTCTCCCTTCCGTAGTGGGTGCCTGTCCATGCCCTATCTTTGCTTCCAGGTCTAGGGCCACCTTGCTAAACGAAGGAAAGCTGTGCATATTGATGTTGGCCTCTTTTGCCAACTGGTTCCTAAGAGGCTGTGAAAAACATCTCAGGTACGAAGTCAACAGGACCTGAGGATCATGGTGTACCCCAAGTACACAGATCAAACACTCTACAGCGTCGGTGGCCTCCCTTACTGACTTAAACTGCCGCGTGTGCAGTGTCAGGATCGCGTCAGTGGCCCTTTGAGCCTCCTGAGGATCATGCCACCTTTCTTCCACCATCTTTAGGCAGTCCTCCAATTTCTGGAAGGCTGCCCAAGCGCGGAAGTCATGACCATATCCTTGAAGTTGTACGAGGCCACTCAACCATCTCGCTGCACTACCCTCGAGGTAAGACGCAGCCACAAGCACTTCTTCGTGAGGCAAGGTGAGTTTGCACCTGACGTAGACCGGCACTGCCCTCAACCATGTGTCGAGGTCCTCGCCTCTCTTGTCTCCTGTAAAAGGTTTAGCAGCGGTGATGGTCGTCTTTGGAACCCACTGTGTTTGTCCCGGTCCCTGCATCATTCCAGGTTGTGGACCTGGTGAAACAGGTTGCTGTGCTAGCTGCTGGGGCTGTGTGCCCTGAGGCTGCACTGACTGCGAGACAGCAGGCTGCGTGGTGACTGCAACCTGTGACGGACTTGGAGTAAACACTGTCTGTACAGGAACCTGTATACTACTCCCTGTTGTTACCCCTCCTGATAGCGGCATGCCTATGGATACAATAGCAACCGTTGACGGGGCTACAAATGGGGATACCCCAGTCACCGGTGGGACAAAGAAGGGAGGATAAGGCTTGGGCCAGGCACCAGGCCCGGCTGGTGATGGTGTTGCCTGAGCACGGCCTGACAATACGGCCAGACTTTGTTGAATGTCCTGAAGGATGGTAGTCTGGTGTTCCTGCATCTCTATAACCCCTAGCAGGGCCTTCCTAACTACCCTCACATCATCATCCATATGCGTCAGGTCCATCGTTTCTAACTCCTCTATGTCTGTCTCTCTTTGCTGCATCCTGGCTCTTCTTCTAATCATCATCTCCTTCTCCCTTTTTATCTTTCCTAATGC